CATTTGAGAAAAAACTTTACCAGTCATTAACCTACTATGAAGTTATACAAGCACAAGGGAAACTGCTAGACTCAAAGATTAAAAACAAAGTTTCTAAAATGAAGTAGAGATCAAGCTGCAAATGATGGAAGATAAATCCCACAGATTAGGTCCAAGCCAGTTAATGATTTTCTTTGTGTCGGGGTTCAACAGAGCCTGACCTGACCAACAGACTTCAACAGAATCTCCACAAAAGAGGATAAGTATGCCTAATGAAGAGATGCTCAACATTTGAATCATCAGGGAACTATAAATTAAAACTATAGTAAGAATAGTGAGTCTAAAGTTTTAACATGCAGTATGATAACTGTAGTTGATAATATTGTATTATATTTTAGAAATAGCTAAGAGTAGATGTTAGCAATCTTATTAAATGCAAAAAAGTAACCATGTGAGTTGATGTGTTTTGAATATAATCATATATGTATATGTGACTACATATATATGAATATAATAATATACCAATCATATATATTTGAATATAATCATGTATATGCTTATATGACTATATTCATGTATACATATATACATATCAGGGTATACAACTTAAATTCACACAATAAAATCTTTTTAATTAAAATATTTTAAATAATGAAACATCACACTCACTAGAATGGCTAACACATGACCCAGATATTCCAGTCTTTTTCCAAAAAGAAATGAGAATATATATTCACAAATTACTTGTATATGAAAATTCATAGCAGATTTATTCATAACAGCATATATTGGAAACCACCCAACCATCTTCTGCTGCATAACAAATTCTCTCCAAAATTTAGTGGCTTCAAACAATATAATTTTGTTGTCTCACAATGTCAGCGGGTTTCTGGGGAGATGACCTCACAGTTTCTATGCAAGTCACAATGGTACTTATGACCTAGTCTTGGATGTCACACTCCATCATTTCTGCCACATTCTGTTTGTTAAAGTGAGTCACTAGGTACAGCTCACATTCAAAGGGACGAGAAGGAGGAATATCAGAAAATTGGGGAATTTAAAACTTCAGACTCAAGTGTCCAACAACAGGAGAATGAATGAAAAAATTGTGATATAATTAACCAACAGAATACCTCTGAGGAATAAAAACAAATGGTATGGACTAATGATTCACAAAGCAACATGGATGAATGTTGACAATGTTGTGCAGAGTGTAAGAAATCAAACACAGAGGAGCATATATATATTGAATGGATCTTTCTGTGACGTTCTAGGAGGATAAAAACAACCTAAAGTGACACAAATCAAAGCTGTCGTTGCCAAGAGCACAGATGGACAGAATTATTGTAAATTGGTATAAAGAATTTTCTGGAGTAATGCAAATGTTCTACATCTTCACTAGGGTGGTGGTTGTCTGTATATAGACAATTGTCAAATCTCAGTAAACTGAACATTAAAATACGCAAATTTTATTATGTAAACTATATCTGTGTTATGTAAGAAGAGAAAGGAAATAAACCAACTCAGGAGGTATTGAATGTACATTAGAGGCATGAGAGAAAAAACTGGAAACAGAGAGGGACACTGAAGGTAGGTAAGGAGACAATGGTGCCCTTGTACTCCCCAGTGGCAGAGCAACAGAGGGAGTGGCCTTTTAATTAGCCACAGGGAGCATCTCACTGGCACATTTCCTCTGAATCTTCTTCTCCCTTCTCAGTCATCATTAGTGCCATGGATTAATTAATTGGCTGTGGGCAGTGGGGCCCCTCATCTTGGCAGAATTTCTGAGCTGTTGTCTCCAGGGCATGGGAGTCCTGGGATCCCTCCCTTCACAAGCTCACCATGCCTCCCTTTCCACCTCCAGTCCCAGTAGAAGAGAACTTAGCTACTGGGTTTGAGGGAAGGGGCTTGTCATCAAATAGCTCCACAGTAAAGAGCTGCCTCTGGCTGGCACTTGGGCTGAGGGGTGGGGGGCACATGGTTAGTGTGCAGCCTCTTCAGCCCCACAGGGACTCAGCCCAGCTCTGGTGCTGCCTAGCTACACTTTCCAGAACAAGCTATTTCTGTGTGTGCCTTCACTCCTTTATCTGAAATGGAGGATAATAATACTAAGAAGCAGTGAACATAAAGTGCCCAGGGAAATAAACACTAGCAATCATTACTCTTCCCCAAAATCTAAGCTCTACTCAATTTCAAGGGTGTGATATTCCTGCAAAGTTTGCTTTTATCTCTCATTGTGAGAACCAAGTGGAGGCGCCGACCAGTCCAGAAACCACCTCGTTGTACCAGGAAGTTCTCACAGGAAGTTGATGATATTGTCTTTAATCACAAGTAAGTTTCAAGTTTATTCTCCTACAGCCCATCAGATTGCACATGTACTCAATAGTGTTGGTATCAAACAGAATCTAGGATCCTTAATGGCTGGGTAACTTTCAGCAAGTTACTTCACCCTTCTGAGACTGTTTCTTGTGTGAAGGAGGGATGATAATGTTAGTTAGCTTTCAGGGTTGTGAGAACCAAAAATTCTAGAAAATCATTCAGCACAGTGTCTGGTATTCAGGAAGCACTTAACAAATAGTAACTGTTAAAATAATAGGAGGTCATCGTTATGGGATTATAGAGCAGAATTTATACCTCATTACCTTGCAGCAGATAGTTCATGGCTGACTCTCTGGTAACCAATAAGGGAATGAATGAATGCACATGTGTGTGAAATTAACAAGAAAAGTAGTGCTTGCTTTATATTAGTTCCAGAAAGAAGGATCATGTAGAAATAAGAAATAACTAAGTCAAAGAAAGATACAAATTGAAGAGATTCTGAAAAAGTATAAAGTGAGACAAGTTGTCAAGAGAGCAAGAATGTGAAAAATGATTAAGTTCAAGGATTAGTAAAATGGGTAGGCAGTTGCAGAGATAGAAAAGATAAGGCCCTGTGAAGTTTAAAAGGAATAACTAAACAAAACTAATGACTAAAAGTAATGGGAGCAGTGTTTCCATCTCCAGAGGGAAAAAAAGGGATGTTATCAGTGCCTAGAAAACTCCTGAGGTTCTGGTAACATTTGTTGTGTTCTTAAATTGGTTCAGGGGTGGGGGGAATACTGAGACACCATGTGTTCATTTTATTATTTCATACAATCCATAGGTATGTGTTAAATGCACTTTTGTTTATAGTTTTTTATTGTTGTTGCTTTGGTACTGAGGATTGAACCTAAGGGGGCTTAACCACTGAGCAACATCCCCAACCCTTTTAATATTTTGTCTTGAGATAGGCTCTCACTAATTACTTAGGGCCTCTCTAAGTTGCTGAGGCTGGCTTTGAACACATGATCCTCCTGCCTCAACCTCCAGAGCTGCTGGGATTACAAGGGTGCGCCACTGTGCCCATTGGATAATTACTTTTTAAAAAGGGATACAAATTTTATCTGAGAGGGGAAGAGCAATGATGAAGGAAGGAAAATAGAAGACCAGAAAGAGGAGATCTGCACAAAAATGGAAATGAAAGGTGTCTTTTAACACAGAATGGATACCCCAGGATGGGGAGGTGAGCATGCCATGCCACAAACTCCCAGGGCACTTTCACCAGACCTCTCTTCCCTCAATGGTCTTCCTAAGATTGTCTGTGCTCAGAAGACCCTCAGCTCCTGCTTCATAATTGCCAGGGAGGCTGCCATCCCACCCCTGTCTTTGAGCTTACCATCTATGTCCCACATGGCAAAAATTTATGTCCTCTTCTCCCAAAAGCTTTCCTGGACACATACACCCAGATACCTCTTTCACTATGAAGACATTTGCCTTCAGTTCTGGAAGTCAACAATTTTCATGATTCCCCAGTGTTTACTAAGTACATGAGGCCACACTCCTACAGCCTCTCAGTTTCTCATGGTGGTTGCTGAATGCATCAAACTGTCCTTTAAGGCTCAATGTCTCTGTGACTAAGGAAAGGCTACTACAGAAGCCATGGTTAGGCATACAGGATATAGTCTGAATTCTCCATGAAAAATTTTTCTATAAAGATCATTATTGGTAAAATTATGGAAATAATCTACAGACTACATATTAGTTTTTATCATTGTTGGATTTTCTAAATTTAGTAACTGTTCTTTTTACAAAGAAGAATATTTGTTTTCTTAGAAATGTGAATTAGTAAGCAGGCATTATATGCTACCCACTCCATAGCTCATAATAAATATAAATATATATATATATAAATAAAAAATGGAATGATAAAAATTGACAAATATTAATAAGTTATTAATATAGGTAAAGGATATTCAGAAGGTTTTTAGAGTATTCTTGGAAATTTTCTGTAACTTTGAGTTTTTATATGAAAATGTTTTCAATTCCAAATAGTGAAAATAAGGCAGCATTAAAATTCCAATTTCTACGTAAATATTTCAATAGTAACTTAGTTTATTTTGCTACTGATATAATCTTATATGAAATGGAAAAATATATATATATAAATGTGTTTATATGTGTTTGTGTGTGTGTATGTGTATACTCTGCCTCTGATTGGTTCTCCCACAAACAAGAATAAAATAGATAAAATGTGAATGGTTCTAAAAAATTTATAACCCCAAATAGAAAATAATCTCACATAGATATGTTTCATAGAGAAATTCTAACAAAAGATTTCTTTGCTAATTTTTCTTAGATAAACATAATGGAATACTCAGAGAACTATGGTAGTATTCAGGACAAAATGGATATTTAATGTGTTATTGTTCAAGGGTAGTTAATTAAACCATATTTCAATTCAACTTTCTTTGCCCTCAATCAGAAAGCCAGAGGCACCAGTGTGAAGTTCCATCCATTATCCAGAACATTCCTGGTTTTGCACTGCCACTGAACAACATTTGGCCATAGGGATCAAGAAAAAGGAAAGCAACACTGGGTGGTGGTGTGCCTGGAAGAGCAGCGGAGGGAGAGGAAGTTCCACATGGCAGGAATGAAAAGCACTTTACATTAACGTCACTTTGGGCTGACAGGCTCAGTGCTTCAGTTCTGAGTAACAACAAGCCATGGTCAACCAAAGCTCCCCAGTGGGATTCCTCCTTCTGGGCTTCTCTGAATACCCAGGGCTGGAAAGGATTCTCTTTGTGGTTGTCTTAACTTCCTACCTCCTCACCCTGGTGGGCAACACACTCATCATCCTGCTGTCGGTTCTGGACCCCAGGCTCCACTCTCCAATGTACTTCTTCCTCTCCAACCTCTCCTTCTTGGACCTCTGCTTCACCACAAGTTGTGTCCCCCAGATGCTGGTCAACCTCTGGGGCCCCAAGACCATCAGCTTCCTGGGCTGCTTCATCCAGCTGTTCATCTTCATGTCCCTGGGGACCACTGAATGCATCCTCCTGACAGTGATGGCCTTTGATCGCTATGTGGCTGTCTGCCAGCCCCTCCATTATGCCACCATCATCCATCCCCGCCTGTGCTGGCAGCTGGCAGCTGTGGCCTGGGTTTTGGGTCTGGCCCAATCCATAGTCCAGACACCACCCACTCTCCTCCTGCCCTTCTGTCCCCACCGGCAGATAGATGACTTTTTGTGTGAAGTTCCTTCTCTGATTAGACTATCCTGTGGAGACACCACCTACAATGAAATCCAATTAGTTGTGTCCAGTTTCTTCATCTTGGTTGTTCCTCTCAGCCTTGTTCTTGTCTCTTATGGTACCATTGCCCGGGCAGTACTGAGAATTAACTCTGCCCAAGCATGGAAAAGAGCTTTAGGGACCTGCTCCTCCCATCTTATGGTTGTCACTATCTTCTACAGCTCAGTCATTGCTGTCTACCTCCAGCCCAAAAATCCTTATGCCCAAAAGAGGGGCAAGTTCTTTGGCCTCTTCTATGCAGTGGGCACTCCTTCACTTAACCCACTCATATACACCCTGAGGAACAAGGAGGTAAAGAGGGCATTCAGGAGGTTACTGGGGAAAGATGGGGAATCTAGGGAAAACTGTTTGATATATTCCTAATCAAGAAGAGTTTATTCATGATTTGTAAAAATGTTGAGCTCCCCAGGCCACACAACTGAGCCTCTATAGTGTGTCAGCATGATTATGTGGTATCTAAGAGAGAGAGACATTCCATTAAGATATCCACTCATCTATTGAAGGACATCTAGGTTGGTTTCACAGTTTAGCTATTGTGGAATGTGCTGTTATAAACATTGATGTGGCTGTGTCCCTATAGTATGCTATTTTTAAGTCTTTTGGATATAGTCTGAAGAGAGAGGTAGCTGGGTCAAATGGTGTTTCCATTCCCAGTTTTCCAAGAAATCTCCACACTGCGTTCCATATTGGCTTCACCAATTTGCAGTCCCACCAGCTGTGTATGAGTGTACCTTTTTCCTCACATCCTCGCCAACACTTACTGTTGTGTGTCTTCATAAGAGCTGCCATTCTGACTGGAGTGAGATGAAATCTTAGAGTGGTTTTGATTTGCATTTCTCTAATTGCTAGTGATGATGAACATTTTTTTATATATTTGTTGATTGATTGTATATCATCTTCTGAGAAGTGTCTGTTCAGGTCCTTGGCCCATTTATTGATTGGGTTATTTGGTTTTTTGGTGCTTAGCTTTTTGCATTCTTTATATACCCTAGAGATTAGCGCTCTATCTGATGTGTGAGGGACAAAGATTTGCTCCCAACATGTAGGCTCTCTATTCACCTCACAGATTGTTTCTTTTGCTGAGAAGAAACTTTTTAGTTTGAGTTCATCCCATTTATTGGTTCTTGATTTTAATTCTTGTACCACAGGAGTCTTATTAAGGAAGTTGGGGCCTAATCCCACATGATGGAGATTAGGGCCTACATTTTCTTCTATTAGACACAGGGTGTCTGGTTTTATTCCTAATCCTTGATCCATTTTGAGTTGAGTTTTGTGCATGGTAGGGGTTTGATTTCATTTTGTTGCATATATACACAATGGAATATTACTCAGCAATAAAAGAGAATAAAATCATGGCATTTGCAGGTAAATGGATGGAGTCAGAGAAGGTAATGCTAAGTGAAGTTAGCCAATCCCAAAAAACCAAATGCCTAATGTTTTCTCTGATATAAGGAGGCTGATTCATAGTGGGATAGGAAAAGGGAGCATGGGAGGAATAAGTGAACCCTAGATAGGACAGAGGGGTTGGAAGGGAAGGGAGGGGCCATAGGGTTTTAAATGATGGTGGAATGTGATGATTATTATTATTGTCCAAAGTACAGGTATGAAAATACAAATTGATGTGAATATACTTTGTATACAACCAGAGAGATGAAAAATTGTGCTTTACATGTGTAATAAGAATTATAATGCATTCTGCTGTCATATATAAATTTAAAAATAAAGAAAGAAAGAAAAGATATCACTGTTATGGCACACAACTGTAATCCCAGCAACTCAGGAGTCTGCAGCGGAGGATAACAAGATTGATGCCAGCCTCAGTAACTTCACAAAACCCCATTTCAAAATAAAACATAAAAAGGTCTGGTGATGTTTCTCAGTGATTAAGCACCCCTGGGTGCAATTCCCATTACCAAAAAATGAAAACAGAAAAAAAAGATAGATATCTCCATAAAACATGTTAAATTCAAGCATTATCATTTCTGTCAATATTTCCTCTCTTCTCCATCCTGTCTTTACTGCCCTCACTTCGATAGATTTCCTAACCCTGTGGTGCCCATTTCTGGCTGTATCATCTCTCTTCACTTATCATGTCAGTGTAGGAGAACTAGTCCATCATTGCATTTCAGAGCTTTGCACCTATCTACATGGGCCATGCAAGCAAAGGCCTGAGCCACAGTTACTCTGACACTTGAAAGGATGCCTACTGATCCTCACAGATTATGGAAGGATTGTTAGGACTTGCCTCAAGACCATCTCTCATTCTCTTCCTTATACCCTCAGAGGCATGTCACGTTATTGCCTCCCAAGTTATGATGAAGCATGAGGTATCCTGCTCTATATTATTAAGATCAGGTGCAGAATTTCATGAGGTTTAGCTGTAGTCTAGACTTGTTTCCTCATCAATGGGGTATCCCACAAAAGTGTTGCAGCCACCTGGCCACTTTGGTTTCAAAGCCCTTTTTGGTGTGTGGAACAAGGACCTAGGGAGCTGGTACCTTTGGATTTTCCTCCTTTTCATTTGTATGTAAATAACAAACTGTCTAATTTTAAAGTGGTTCCTTGTATCTTTATTGGTCAAATCGATCAGGTGTTAGCCTTCATTGTATGGGAGTGTCTAACAGTCATCAACAACACTCTATCCTTATTTCTGGTTCCTACCATGTTGTCTTAGTCTTATTTGCTCTGCTATAACAAAATATTACAAACTTGATAGCATATAAACAACATAAATTAATTTCTCAAAGTTCTAGAGGCTGTGATGTTCAAGATTAAGATTCATGCATAGTGAAGGCCCATTTTCTAACTTATAGATGGTGACTTCTTGCTGTGTTTTTACACAGTGAAGGGGGCTAGCCAGAGGGCTTTATGATAAGGTCACTGATACCAATTATGAGGGGTTTTCCTTCAGGAACCAATCACCACTCAAAGACTCCACGTGCTGCATAATGATGTTCAGATCAACAATGGACCACAAATATGATAGTGATTCTATAGATTATATCTCTGAGTGATGTGTAAGTAACTCTATGGTATTCACACAATGATGAAATCACCTAATGATTCATTTCTCCGAATATATTCCCATTGTTTAGCAACATATTATTGGTTGAGTGTTTTGGTTTTTGGTACCAGGATTAAACCTAGGGGCATTTAACCATTGGGCCACATCCCCAGCCTGTTTTACTTTGCATTTTGCAACAGGTCTCAGTAATTACTTAGGGCCTCACTAAGGTGAGGCTGGCTTTCAACTTGGGATCCTCCTGCCTTAGCCTTCTGAGCCACTGGGATTATAGGCATGTGCCACCACATTCAGCATATTACTGTATCTTAATTACAGTATTTCCTCCCTTTTACACCAAGGAGCACAGAACAACAGGGGAATCATCATATAATCTTAGGGTTCTAACAAGATGTTGCAATGGGGACTTTGTTACTATCAAATGACCACACAATATAGAGCATGGGGAAATTCTGTCTCCTGGGTAAAGAGTCTCTGTGATCAAAATATCTGGGTTTGCAAGTTATAGACCATAAGCCAGAAGAAAGTGAACCACTTTTTCCTCCACTGTCACTATAACCCTGGGAAGTCACCATCAATGTAGTGGTATATCAAGAAAAGTTAATTGACTTTTTTTTATTTTGTAATCTATCATAATTTCTGTCCATTATGCCATAGCTAGAGGAGGTGTCTCTGTCCCCTATCACCTGACTCCACCAGAAACATGGGTAGTTACTCATCATGAGATTTACACCCTCACGTGGGGATCCACCTTCAGGTGGATGGTCTCCTCCTTATCATGACATGGTTGTGGAATTAGGGTCTTGGAACCCAGCAGAAGGACCTGCTCCTCCAGACACACTTACTGATTTTTTCCCAGGTTTGCAGCAAAATCCATTACCTCACATTCCTCAGAATCAACATTTATCTTGGCAATTTTATATATAGTTGAAATATTATTGAGAAATGAAGGTGAAATAAAGATATTCTCGGTGAAAGAAGATGAAGAGGATTTATCACCAGCAGACCTACTCTAAGAGAAAAGTTAAAGAAAATTCTTAAGACAAAGAGGAATTGAAACAGAGAGAAAGAATTGAAAAAGAGAGAAAGAAACTTTCAATATCACAAATAAAGGGAAAGCACTTGAAATTAATAGTATTTGGGTAAATAAAGTAATTTACTAATCTTTTGGGGGGTTCTTTAAAATAAGTATCATTTTTAGAACCAAAAAGTACAAACCTGATGGGGTGTCAATGTAAATAGAGGTGATACATATGATAATTATGGAATAAAGTAATGACAATAAAGGCATCTATTTGGTAATGAGATTTTCATACTCCACATGAAGTTTTGGACTATTAATTCTAAGTAAACTATGAAAAATTAAGTATTTATATTGAAATTCCAACAGCATCTAATAAAATAAAAAATATATAGTGTCATCAGCAAAAATGACAGAAGACCTCCAAAAATTATTTCCTCCATAAAAGCAAAATGAACCCCCCAAAACTATAAGAATTAATATTTTCCAGAACCCCCAAAATTAACCAGACTTGCCAAAAGCTGGGGAGATTTTAAGAATTATGGTTAATATCATTAACAACAGTGATGCCTTATCCCATTTCTCCCTTCCCAACTCCACAGTAAGTGAAAACCAACAGCCCACCACCATCTTAGCAAAAAGTAGCAAACGGGAAGTCCCTGGAGAAGGCACAAAAGAATTAGAGATCCTTCCACACCCTGTTTCTAGAAAACTCATTGTTTTAAGTTGCCTGGTTGTTCCCTGGAACTCACAAAGCTGTTTTTACTTGACCTGACTCTGAGTTAGCCTGGAAAAAAACAACCTTTTTCCTGTAGATAATTACTGAAAAGAATCCTAGGCAATTGTTGACCATAATGGATGCCTGTGGTGGTAGATAAAAGTTGATACAAACAGTATGCCAACCAAGAAGATTAAACTAAATGTCAGGGAATAAGATGCCCATAGGGAGCCTTGAAAAGCTCTAACATACCCCAGGAACTCCAAAAGGCCATATGCATGACAGGACTATGGGTGTGCATGCTCTGATCAGACATAAAAGGGCCTTAAACTCAAGTTTGAGGCACAGCTCAGACAGGAAGTGAAATCCAAGACAGATGTAAACTGCCTGAGTTTTGAGTACATGTCACAACATGTGTACAGAGCACTGAAAGACTAATTGCTTCCAGCAATCTAAGAAAATCTTTGTCTAAAGCTAACCAGAGACTTCAATGACCTTCTAAAACAAGAATATAGACTTTACAGATAATCCTGAAAACTCACTAAACAAACAACATAAATAACAAAATTAGGGAATAGAAAAAATATGACTTTCAGAGTTGC